CAGGGTTGTCCCCTGTCCCCCATCATCTTCATATTGACACTGCAACCATTTCTTCGTATGGTGCAGGCCGAGCCGGAGGTGAAGGGGGTCGGTCAGCGAGGCACAGAGCATAAGGTGGCAGCTTATGCGGACGATATGCTGTTTCTCCTGACGGACCCACGAACCTCCATGGTGAAGCTATTCCAAATGTTTAAAGAATATGGGGACCTATCTAATCTCTCCATCAATTACACGAAATCGGAGGCCTTAGCCCTGAATGATGGAGGAGGCGGATCTACAGACCTTCAGAGCTTATTCCGGGTACGATGGGAGCGACAGGCCATAACATATCTGGGGATATACCTCACTTCCTCCATAGCAGATCTGTTTAGACTAAATTTCCAACCGCTCCTGGCGACGGTCAAGCGGGCTCTCCAGAGCTGGAGGCCCCTTTCTGTCTCCTGGTTTGGAAGGGCCGCTCTGGTTAAGATGATTGTTCTGCCAAAGCTGCTCTATATGTTCCAGGCAATTCCGATCCGAATACCAGGGTTGTTCTTTACACATGTAGATGCGGAATTCAGACGCTTTATTTGGCAGGATAAAAATCCGAGAGTGTTGTGGTCCCTCTTGAAAACCCCGAAGACAAAAGGGGGGTTTGGGAGTCCCAGACACCTATGGATACTATAGAGCCTGTCACCTTAATAGGATAGTGGACTGGCATGCCAATGGCGGCTCTAAACTATGGGTGGATATGGAGGTGTCCTGAACGGAACAACCACTGACCTCAGCTGCGTGGATACTGGACAGATATAGGCACCCAGACATAGCAATACACCCTCTTATTGAGGCGTCCCTACATGTACTAACAGGGCTCAAACGCAAGAAACATTTGACCTCCCATGAGGGACCCCTGACCCCACTGGAAGATAAAGCATTCCAACCGGGTTCTACAGAGGAGTTTGTACGCCAATGGCAACCCCTGGAATCGCTGAGAGCACACACCTTTTTTAAGAACCAGAAATTCCTAGACAGAATAGACCTACAGGAGATGTCCAGGTGTGGGCGGGTACCCTGGTGGTCGTACCTGCAGGTGCGGCACTACCTCAATAGCGGAAAGGGAGACTTTGCCAGGGGCATGTCACCCTTTGAAAAGGCATGCACGGGCCAGGGACCTTCCAGACATCTGATCTCCTGGCTCTATGCATTACTGACAGATCATTCATCCAAGCGCTCACAGTCGCTGAGGAGATGGGAGGGGGATCTGGCACGGGAGATTTCGGAGGATACCTGGGAAAAGATCTGCGTGTGGGGCCACAAATGCTCAATAAGCAGTAAAGCACAAGAGACTAATTTTAAAATACTTACACGATGGTACAGAACACCTGCAATTCTGCATAAGATGGACCCCGCGATACCAACCGAATGCTGGCGTTGCAACTTAGAATGTGGAGACCTGCTACATATTTTTTGGTCCTGTACCTCCATCCAACCATTTTGGAAGGAGGTGCATGGATTGATGTGTAAAATTCTGGGAAGGGAGGTGGAATACTCTCCGGGAGTCTTCCTGTTACATCTCCATGACCAATCCAGAGGAGGCCCGGCCAAATCCCTGGAGAAGCACATGATCAACGCGGCCAGATCACTCATTCATAGGCTATGGAGGGAGACTAGAGCCCCCACGCTGAGGGAATGGATCCAACAGGTGGGGCATATCTGTGAGATGGAGGAGCTCATGGCTACCAAACACGACCGTATGGACAGGTGCGCAAAAATATGGGCACCCTGGGCGGTGTTCTGCTGTAGCGCGGAGTTCGACCACATTAGAGAAGAGGGGAGGTAACAGGGCGAACAGGGGGGCCCTTCGAGTTGTAAACAGAGGGTTAGTGGACGGTCGGGACTGCTCTAATTTGGGAGGTAGGCCCCCGGAGGGGAGAGGGGGAGGTGCGGAGCTTTCTTTCATTGTATTTGTATCTTTCTTTCTTTTTATTCTCTTATTTTCCCTTTCTCTTGTGTTTCCTTCTGACACCCGCTGGAGGCCAATACTGACAAGGTACAGGAGAGACCTCCAAACCAATACACAGTTCCTCTGTGCTAACAGATCTCGACGAGTTGGAGACGTTTCGTAATCTGAATATTATGTGCAGCTAACAAATGGGGCGGATTGTACCATGTGCAGGAGACATTGTTTTCTTTCTTTTGTAGTACCGTTGTATTCTGTTTATCTTTGTGCAAAAAACAATAAAATACAAATTTTGAATGGAAAAAAAAAATACAATGTTTGGGGGTTTGAAGTAATTTTCAGGCCTAAAATGTGGATGATATGTGCGCGGAAAAAAAAAGGCCTTGGCAGCAAAAGGGTCCTTAAGGGGTTAATCTACACTCAGTACCCCATAATGACAGTGTGGCATTATGGGGTGGGGAATTTTAGAAATGTCTGAATTTATTAAAAAAGAAAACATTTAAATATCCCATGTACTTAAGTATTTAAACGCTTTACTCAGTACTTTGTTCAAGTACCTTTGGCAGCAATTACAGCCTCAAGTCTTTTTGGGTAACAAGGCAGCAAGGTTTACACACCTGTATTGGGGGATTTTCTACCATTCTTCTTTGCAAATCCTCTCAAGCTCAGTCAGGTTGGATGAGGCCAGTCGGTGGACAGCCATTTTCAGAGATGTTTAATAGGGTTCAAGTCAAGGCTCTGTTTGGGCCACTCTAGGACATTCACAAAGTTGTCCATAAGCTACCCCTGCGGTGTCTTGGCTGTGTGCTTAGGATCATTGTTATGTTAGAAGGTGAACCTTCTGCCCAGTCTGAGGTCCTGAGTGCTGTGGAACAGGTTTTCATTGAGTATCTCTCTTGCTCTATTCAGCTTTCCCTCAACTATGACCACTCTCCCAGTCCCTGCTGCTGAAACAAACCCCCACAGCATGATGCTACCACCACCATGCTTCACTGTTGGGATAGTATTGGGCAGGTGATGAGCGGTGCCTGGTTTCCTTCAGACATAACTTTTAGAATTGAGGCCAAACAGTTCAATCATGGTTTCATCAGACCAGATAATCTCGTTTTGCAGTCCTTCAGGTGCTTTATTTTGCAAACTCCAAGGGGGCTTTCATTTGTTTTGCACTGGGGAGAGGCTTCCGTCCACCCACTCTGCCATAAAGGCCAGATTGGTGGAGGGCTGCAGTGATGGTTGTCCTTCTGGAACTTTGTCCCATCTCCACACAGGATTTTTGGAGCTCAGTCCAAGTGACCATCGGGTTCTTGGTCACCTTTTTCCCCAATTGCTCAGTTCAGCTGGGGACCAGCTCTTGAAAGAGTCTTGGTTGTGCCAAACTTCTTCCATTTGAGAATTATGGAGGCCACTGTGCTCTTGGGAACCTTCAATGCAGCAGAATTTGTTTGGAGGCTTCTCCAGATCTGTGCCTTGCAATAATCCTGGCTGAGCTCTGCAGGTAGTCCCTTTGACCTCATGGCTTTTGCTTTAATACAGTAAGCATTGTCAGCTGTGAGGCCTTCTATAGAGGTGTGTGCCTTTCCAAATCATGTCCAATCAATTTAATTTACCACAGGTGGACTCCAATCAAGGTGTAGAAACATCTCAGCAAGGATCAAGAGAAATGGGAGGCACCTTAGCTAAATTTCAAGTGTTGTTGTAAAGGTTCTGAATACTTAGGCCAATGTGATATTTCAGTTTTTCCTTTTTCATACATTTGAAAACATTTCACTTTGTCATTATGAGGTACTGAGTGCAGAATAATGGAAAAAGGAATTTAAAAACTGTATCAGGCTGCAACATAACAAAATTGAAAAAAATGAAGGGAGGGGTCTAAATACTTTCTGAATGCACTGTATATCTAGGTTTTGAGCAGCAAATGTTCCCATTCAGATGACATCTTTTTCAGGGAAATCCTGGCATATTTCAGCAGGACAATGCTAAACCCTCATACTGCATCTATGACAACAGCATGGCTTCGTAGTAGAAGCGCCTGGGTGTTTAACTGGCCTGCCTGCAGTCCAGACCTTTCACCAATTGAAAATATTAGGACCATCTTGAAAAGAAAAATGTGACAAAGAAGACCCAGGACTGTTGAGCAGTCAGAATCCTATAATCAGGCACGAATAGGACAAAATTCCTCTGCCAAAACTCCAGCTACTGGTCTCCTCAGTTCCCAGATGTTTACAGAGTTTTGTTAAAAGAAGAGGGGATGCTACACTGTGGTAAACATGGCCTTGTCCCACCTTTTTGAGATGTGTAGCTGCCATCACATTCAAAATTACCTTATTTTTTTCTTAAAATGGTACATTTTCTCAGTTAAAACATTTGATATGTTTTCTATTTTCTATTGTGAATAAAATAAGGGTTTATGACAATTGCAAATAATTGTTTTTAATGTAGATTTTACACAGCGTCCCAACTTTTTGTAATTGGGGTTGTAGCTATGCATTCTGGTAGGGGTGACTGGAGCACAAGATAAAAAGAAAAAAAAAACACATCAAGAGGCCGGGTTATGTTGTACTGTGCACCAAGTTCCTTCTTTCTAAAAATTCTAGCTGTCTGGCTGTCTCTGGCTTAATACACCTGAGACCTGGGATAAATATGTAATTGTTCAAAGGTCTGTATTGCTCTCACTTCCTGTTCTTATTGCTGTAAATCATTAATGGGACACAGTACAGACAGCAGTAGAAACTTGACAGATGTTTTCACATCTGCTATGTTCCAGTTAGTGAGCTTTCCCTCACTTGCTATTTTGTCTGTTCTAACTTCTAAAAGTAAACAGGGAGATCGAGGAAATCTTTCCAAGGATAACTTAAAACAGAACTTGAGAGAGAGACAAACTCCCTACTGCCTATTTCCTGCTTGATCTACAAAAACTAAAAAAATATAAAAATATAAGAACTCTAAAAATATACAGTTACAAATGCATTCGGGAGGCAAAATATAAATCACAAACCTACAGTTACATTTAAAACTGAATCAAGTGTTACATACTATCCATTATAATGTTATTATGCAATACCTGGTAACCCTCCTCTAGTTGAAGAGTTTTGAAGTTCTTCAGTTTTCGCAAGTCCCACAGTTTGACACTGGAATCATCAGCAGCAGTTGCCAAATAATACCCATTTTCTGAGAAAGCCACGCATGATATAGGACCAGAATGGCCAGGGAAATTTGCAACATTAGAGCGTTCCTGCAAACAAATAACATTACTGAAAGTTGTTCAGAGACCTATTTGCCATTATTTTGATTACAAAGCTAATTATTAATACTACAAACTTGTAAATCTAGCAATGGCATTAAACAAAATAAAAGTCATGTCTTTAGTCACTTTAAATTGTATGTAAATCCTAACAATGAACTTCTTATATTTGTTCATAATTATGCTAAATATATCAATTGGAAACATTTAGTTGAATCTGGTTAAAAAATGCTAAAACAAAAACAAAAAAAACTTCCAAAGCTATCCCTGTGTCCTCTGCACACTACATGCGTTATATCAATTAGCCCTCCTAGTTTTTACTTTGGACTAATGTAGAGAGTTAAAATATGGAGTGGTTGAGTAGCTAAGCGACAGACACTGGGATGGCCCATATCACTCAGTCCACGGAAAAGCTGTGTATTAGCTCCTAAGCCGTTGTGTGCCGGCAACTACATTTCTGGCTGTTCAATAGTTATTTTCCAGTACTTGCAGGTCCTTTAACCCTTTCGCTGCCAAGGAGATGTCATACGTCGCTGGCAGCGCGCCCCTGCAAACAGGCTGCCGCCAGTCTGATTACCTGTGTAAACCCGACTGTTAGCTTTAAACTGGAAGTGATTCTGGCAGCTAAACAGCCGCTCAATCGCTTCGAGAGGCCAGTAAAAGGCTCGGGACCGCACGCAATGTTTAAGCTTGGCATCTATTTATTCGGCACAACTTCCTCTTTTTTATTCTACAAAAAATGGGTAAAATATTGTGTTTTTGTGCCCTAAAATTAATGTAAGCGTGTTTTTTACTAAAATTTTGAGTTGCACCAATTTCATGCGACAATTTGCAACTGCCACCAATTTTCTGGGGGATTTGAAGTAATTTCCAGGCCTAAAATGTCAAAAACACTTAAAAACGTCCTGGTAGGGAGAGGGATAAAACATTAAATGTGCATATATCGCAGAGATGTACTGCGTGTGTGTGTGTGTGTACACACAGTATCCCACAGAAGTGAGTACACCCCTCACATTTCTGAAAATATTTTATTATATAATTTCATGTGACACAGAAGAAATTACATTTTGCTACAACATAAAGTATTGAGGCAGTGGTCGTCTTGGAGGTGTGTTTGGGGTCGTTATGTTGGAATACTGCCCTGTGGCCCAGTCTCCGAAGGGAGGGGATCATGCTCTGCTTCAGTATGTCACAGTACATGTTGGCATTCATGGTTCCCTCAAAGAACTGTAGCTCCCCAGTGCCGGCAGCACCAGACCATGACACTCCCACCACCATGCTTGACTGTAGGCAAGACACACTTGTCTTTGTACTCCTCACCTGGTTGCCTCCACACACGCTCGACACCATCTGAACCAAATAAGTTTATCTTGGTCTCATCAGACCACAGGACATGGTTCCAGTAACCCATGTCCTTAGTCTGCTTGTCTTCACCAAACTGTGGGCTTTCTTGTGCATCATCTTCCTTCTGGGATGACAGCCATGCAGACCAATTTGATGCAGTGTGTGGCGCATGGTCTGAGCACTGACAGGCTGACCCCCCTACCCCTTAAACCTCTGCAGCAATGCTGGCAGCACTCATACATCTATTTCCCAAAGACAACCTCTGGATATGACGCTGAGCACGTTCACTCAACTTCTTTGGTCGACCATGGCAAGGCCTGTTCCAAGTGGATCCTGTCCTGTTAAACCGCTGTATGGTCTTGGCCACCGTGCTGCAGCTCAGTTTCAGGGTCTATGCAATCTTCTTATAGCCTAGGCCATCTTTATGTAAAGCAACAATTCTTTTCTTCAGATCCTCAGAGAGTTCTTTGCCATGAGGTGCCATGTTGAACTTCCAGTGACCAGTATGAGAGAGTGAGAGCGATAACACCAAATTTAACACACCTGCTCCCCATTCACACCTGACACCTTGTAACACTAACGAGTCACATGACAACGGGGAGGGAAAATGGCTAATTGGGCCCAATGTGGACATTTTCAATTAGGGGTGTACTCACTTTTGTTGCCAGCGATTTATACATTAATGGCTTTGTGCTGAGTTAATTTGAGGGGACAGCAAATGTACACTGATATACAAGCTGTACACTCACTACTTTATATTGTAGCGTAACAAGTGTCATTTCTTCTGTGTCGTCACATGAAATGATATAATAAAATATTCACAAACATGTGAGGGGTGTACTCACTTCTGTGAGATACTGTGTGTTTACACACACACACACACACACACACACACAGTACATCTCTGCAATATATGCACATTTAATGTTTTATCCCTCTCCCTACCAGGACCTTTTTAAGTGTTGTTGACATTTTAGGTGATGAGAACAATGTCTGTCCTTAGAAAGGTCTAGAAGCATTGTATGCTAATGAGGTGAAGGTCAGTCTGACCCCGGTCTTCCTGTGGTTTCCTGTCCGTTGGAAATAGAGAGAGAAGCTTCGACCACACACACACACACACACATATACACACACATATATACACACACACATACACACATATTTGTTTATTTTGCCTTGACATACACTTTAAAAGAGAAGTAAAACCAAACCTTTTTTCGGCTTTACTTCTATTTTGGGTCAAAGGAGTACATTTACACATAGGAGTCCATGACCCAGAGTCAGTATATAGCGGGCTACTGCCCGTTATATGCCTGCAGCACAGAGATACCCAGCAGCCAGGAAAGGATGCTAATAGGCCCAATAAAACAGAGAACTGTAGACTGCATGCAGCTCAAAGAGCCGCCGAAAAGGACCTCACGTCCAAAGCCGGCATCAGATGAGGGTGCAACATCTACCTGGTAGAACTTGGTGAACGTGTAAAGAAGAGACTACATGGCAGCCTTGCAAATCTGGGAAACCGTTTACTTGTGCCTCGACAGGACAAAATGGAACCTGAGCCTTAGGATTATAAGCTTATGGTCTGTCTGAGCCACCTAGAGATAGTGGAATGAAGAGCCGGTGTACCCTTATGGGTTTTATCCGAGATAACAAACCAAATCAGTCTTTCTGAAATAAACAAAGGCAATGAAGGGAAATTTCCCTTTGGCGACTTGGAGCTGGACAGAGGGACAAAAGAGCAATGTCCTAGTTGAGGTGAAAAGCAGAAACTACCTTAGGTAAAAAGTAGGTTCTGGGCCTCAACACCACATTGTCCCTATGCAAAACCAGAAAGGGTTCCTTGCAGTTATCCTGCAAGGAACCCTTTCTGGTTTTGCATAGGGACAATGTGGTGTGCCTGCCAGTTCAGACATTTGACTCGCAGAGGTGATGGCTACAATAAACACCACTATGTGAGAGAATATACAGGTGAAACTCGAATAATTAGAATATCGTGCAAAAGTAATAGCAGTAATTGCTGCAAAAGGGGCCCAAACCAAGTACTGAGTACATATGCATGCTTGTACTTTTCAGAGGTCCGATATTGTTCTATGTACAATCCTTGTTTTATTGATTGCATGTAATATTCTAATTTTCTGAGGTTGTGGATTTGGGGTTCTTGGGGTTTTCATGAGCTGTAAGCCATAATCATCACAATTATGACAAATCACGGCTTGAACTATCTTGCCAAGCATGTAATGAGTCTATCTCATATATTAGTTTCACCTTTTAAGTTGCATTAGTGAAATAAATGAACTTTGCACGATATTCTAATTATTCGAGTTTCACCTGTAGATGGGTTAATTGATTGGTTTCTGAAGCACAGATAACCAAATTCAGATTCCATGGCATCACAGGGAAACGAACAGGGGGAACAGTTAGGGCTGCAGCTAACAATTATTTTCATAATTGATTAGTTAGCCAATTATTGAGTTTGATTAATCGTATTAAAAAAAAAAAATCACTCCAATGATGGACTACTTGTTTGTATTGAGCTGCTAGTCCCTCACAGGAGCAAGCTTGGAGCAGTGACTACTTTAACACACACACAGAGACCATAGGGAACAAAAGTAGCCACCCTCCAGAAGAGACAGTATCAGCATCAATTCAGAAATGATTTGAGGACCTACAGCCAAGTGATACACAAATAATACAAAGACAAAATACCAGCAATACATTATACATCGGAATGCAGAATACCATCAGCTAAAGAGGAATACAAATCCCAACAATACATTATACAGCGCAATGTACCAAGAGTGGGGGAAATTGCAGGCAGTGGGAGTTGGTGGTGGGACATTTCAAAGGGTAGAGAGGGAAACATCTCCACCACGGGCATGTGCTTTTCTCCCTGCAGTCCCAGGCTGCCCTCCCTCGCTCCCTTCTGTACAAGCAGCATACAGTGAGCCCATGATGAGATGAGCAGAGCAGTCCTCCCCTGCCCGCTCCTCTCGTGTTCGCTTCATCTCCCTGTAGTTTCCTGACATCTTACCTGAGCAGTCTCCAAGCAACTTTTATTCCTGAGATCGTGGTCTGTCAGTGGCTGCCGTCCCCCCATTGCCTGCTCCTCCTGGCTTCAGTCTTCTCCCCATATCCCTGTGATGATCGTGGATGGTGTGGGCAGGTCTGGCAGCGGCGAGTCAGTGAGAGCTGGGTGAGAAGAGGCATGCGTGAAGCCGCAAGCAGGGCAACTAATCGATGATGGAAAACATTGACAACATTTTCCATCATCGATTATGATCGACTTAGTCGATTAGTTGTTGCAGCCCTAGTCCCAGTACAAAGTTCTTCGTCAAGGAGTGAGAGACCAACAGTCTCTGAAACAGGATAGATAGACAGAAAAGTTTTGTTATAACTTGCCGATAACTGGATTTCTAGGAATCTGCCAGGACAGCAACCTAAGAGATGATTGGCTCCTCCTTCCACAGGAAACACAATTAAGAAAGCAGTTAAATACCCTCCCACCCTCTTGTCCCTCAGTTGAGATAAAAGTATACAACCTCCACCAGTGCCCGAGTGGAAAAAACTCACATCCATCAACAACTAGAAGCATTACCAAAAACCAGGGTGGGAAGTAGGCTTGCTGTCCTGGAAGATTCCTAGAAATC